AGGAGAGGAGAGGAGAGGAGAGGAGAGGAGAGGAGAGGAGAGGAGCCACGGCTCAGCTGCCCCAGTGCTGTGGCTGATCAGTGACCCAGGGCCATGGGACCCCCCCCCACTTGCCTTCCTCTCGGTGCCATTGAGATAAACCATCTCGATACGGTCGTAGAAAGCATCCACCCAGTACAGGATCTTGGCTGGGATGTCCAGGCTCAGCCCGTTGGGCCACAGGACAGTTTTGGAGGTGATGAAGATGTTGCGGTTGGAACCATCCATCCAGGCCCTCTCGATCTTGCCTCTCTTGCTGTCCTTGGGATCCTCCTCCCAGTCCGTCCAGTACATCCACCTGCCACAGACACTGAGCTGAGTCTTGGCCTGGCCACCACAGCTTGTGACAAGACCCAACCACGTCCCTGTGGTCCCACCAGCCAGCCCTGCCCAGCCAGGCACCCGCACCCATTCAGGGGATCCACCACGATGGCGCGGGGATGCGTCATCTTCCCCTCGATCAGCGTCTTCCGGGTCTGGGCAGCCTTTTCCAGCCGTGCCACACTGATGGTCTTCTTGGGACCATCATCTGTCCAGTACAGGTTGTTCCCCATCCAGTCCACAGCGATCCCCTCCACATTGTGGATGCCTTTAGGGGAAAAGCAGAGCGGGTTTGTCACCAGCCGGGAGGCAAAAAGTGGAAGCAACAGCCCCAAGCAGTGCCCAATCCCGACCCAAACCAATGGGGATGATGGATGCCCAGCCCCAGGGGCACACACCAGGCCCCTCGGCCACGCACCGTCCTTCAGGATGGTTTCCCTCTCCGTGCCATCGATCTTCTGGCGCCCAATGAGGTAGCTGGTGGTGTCAGCAAAGTAGATGAAGCCGGTCTCGGCGTGGAAATCCAGAGCCCGGGGGTTCATGAGGTTCTCGATGGGGATCATGTGCTCATCTGGCACCTTGGCACCCATGTCCATCCCACGGATGATGCCAGGACGCCCCTTCCCGTACACCAGGAACAGCTCGTGCTCCGGCTCTGGGGAGAGACAGGGACAGCCGTGGCCACCAGCAGGGCCGGGGCAGTGCCATGGGGTCACAGCAATGGGCAGCCCCTGCAGAGAACACAGAGCCCATCTCCAGCCCCTCGCCCCCCACATTCCCCCAGGAAGGCCGGCACTCACTTTTGCAGGATTTCCCATCGCTGCCCAGGCTGAAGCCGGAGCGGCAGCGGCAGGTCCGGCTCTTGTGGCTGTTCCCGAGCAGGCAAATGTCCGAGCAGCCTCCCGGCTTCCCAAACTGATCCGACTCACAGGCGTGGCTGCGCACTGCAACGCAGAGAGGGGCTGCAGCAGCCAGGGGAGGGGGGCACAGGGAGCATGGGGGGCACAGGGACACGGGGATGCAATGGTGGAGACGTGGGGATGCCCTCATGGATCCTCCCTGGGTTTTAGCGGGGCTCGTTCCTCCCAGGAAGGGCTGAGCACAGCACAGGACAGCACAGAGACAGGCAAGGACTTTCCCATGGGAAGGATCTCTGGGGAGAAGCCAGCATGTCCCAGCACACCACCACAGCCACATGGCCACACTGCCCCATCCTGCTGCACCGGCGGGACAAGTCCTGGGAGCAGGGACAGCCAGCACCACCCGGAGAGCCCCTTAATCACATTCCTTTTTCCCCTCAGAAATCTCCTGATTAATTTTATATTCTGGAAAATGCCGAGCAGGCTGCAGACACTAAGAGGATTTTAAAGGAGTAAATTGATTAAGTGCAGGAAGGTGCTGGGGGTGGAGCAGGCAGGCAGGGATGGATGCAGGGAGGAGTCAGTGCAGCACTGGAGCCTTTCAACTCTCTGGAAATCCCTCTGTGCTGGGGAGCACAGGGGTGAACGTGCTGGGAGTGGGCACAGAGAGTAGCAGGGACCATTAATATTTCAAGATGCCACATCTGCTCCCACATCTCTGTACTGCCCATGATCCATCAACCACATGGCACAGCTCTCACAGGAAGAGACACAGTGCTAGCAGGAAAAGGGGGCACCCAGGATATTCAGCAGCCCCCAGGGACCTGGAGAGCAGGAACCCCAGAATCCTCGAGGTTGGAAAAGACCTCCAAGATTACCTCAGAATCCCCAGATTGCACCAGAGCCCTGAGTGCCACATCCATTCATTCCTTGGACACCCCCAGGAATGGGCACTCCACCACTTCCCTAAGCAATCCTTTCCAATGCCTGACCACCCTTTCCATGAAAAAAATTCCTCCTGAAATCCCACCCAAGCCCCTGGCAGAGGAAGCAGGGAGCTGTTACTCCCAGGTGAGGGTCCCACCTGTGGGCTGGCGCCGCTGGTGGTAGATGTGCAGCGCTCCTCCCTTGTCCACCCGTGTCACCACCTGGTACTCGGTGCTGTTGAAGCGGTTGACACGGATCACGCTGGTTTTCTGCTGGGCGTTGGCGTTGTCCGAGTTGGTGGCGTACAGGTAGTTCTCAAACACGGTCAGCCCATACAGGTGTTCGATCTGGAAGGTACCAGGTGCGTGTCCACAAGGGATTTTGGAGTTGTGAGAGCCAGGCTCTGAGATGTGTAAAACCCCTGATCCCACCCCATGGCTCTTGTGCATCACTGGCCATCAGTGTGGTCTTGTCCATCACGGGCACAAAATCATCCTCGGCAGGACCGTGCTCAGTGCTCAGCACGTTCTTTGCTGGATCGCTGAAGTCACAACTGCAGAGCAGTGGCACCCAGGACTCCAATACCAACCCTCTGCCCCAAACCCACTCACCAGGATGCCCTGGATGATGGTGTGCCTGTTCTTGCCCTCGTAGTCCACCACCTCGATGTAGTCCAGGTAGGCATCAGCCCAGTACACCAGGCGGTTCACCAGGTCCAAGGTGATGCCGTGGGGGAAGACGATCTTGCTGTCCACCAGCTTGGTGCGGTTCTGCCCGTCCATGTCACAGCGCTCCACCTTGGGGATCTGCCCGTAGTCGGTGAAGAACACCTTGCTGTGAGAGAAGAGCAGAGCAGGGAGCTCAGAGCCAGGATGAGCTCTGGGAGAAGGAGGATATGGATGTGTGCACCCCCCACGGGGATGGTTGGGGTCTGGCACAGAGCTCCCGGGAGCTTCAGATGTGTTGGTGTCACTGGAAGAGGCCCACAGGCACGTGTGGGGTTGTACATGTTAAAACAGCCTGAGGCAGCTGCCTGTGCATCCCAGAGCTGTTCTGCTCCTGGCATGGTGCTTCCCAACACAGCACAGCAGAGCAAGGGATCAGCACTGCCACCACAGAGCCCAAGGGACTTAACTCCTGTCACCTGTGGGGCTTGTCTGCACCAGCCCTGCTCGAGCCTGGAGTGTCTCTCCAGAATCCTCTGTTTGTTTATATGAAATACTCCCGATTTTCTGCTCAATAACACCAGCTTTTTCCATCCGAGCCAGGAGGGAAGTGGCCATCAGGAAAACAGCTGGTGAGGGGGGAATTTTCCTCTTTAGTGATTACTCTGTTCTGCCCACCATGACCTCAGCCACACCAGCTCCCAGCTCCTGGGGGCTGGCAGCTGCCATGTGTGCCCTGAGCTGCTCCCATGATTCAGCATCCTGGCATCCCCATCCTCAGGGCTGTGCAGAAGGCAGTGGCTGGACACATGGGCACTGTGGAGCTGCTCTGGTTGTGCACAGAGCCACTTCAGCTCCCAAAAGCTGGAGCAAAGCTGTGACCACACTGTGTGACACGAGCTGGGCCAGGTGTGTCCTGCAGGACTGAGCCCTGCTCAGCTGCTGCCAGGGCAGGCTGGGTGGGAAGTGTCCCTGCAGAGAGAGCTCACAGAGGTACAGGAAACCCCCCCACCCCAGAGGGACAGGCCACCCTTGCCAATTGTCCCCAAGGGCAGTGAATTCCCAGGACTCACCCCATGGCTGGGTCCAGCGCAATTCCCTTGGGATTGTACAGCTCCAGGTCCAGCAGTGTGACACAGGTGTCCCCGTTCTTGTTGCAGACGAAGATCCTGTCATCAATGTCATCCACGAAGTAGAAGTTGCCCGTGAGCCAGTCGATGGCCATCTGCTCCACGTCTGGGCCAGGAGAGGGAGGGAGGGAGGGGGGTGAGGCAGGGAGGGACAGAGCCAGGAGCCCCCCGGGGTCACAAACACCAGCACAGACAAGGAATGAGACCATGGGAGCCACCAATGCACTGGGACCTGTCCCAAGGATCTGCCCTGGTCACCCCACAGGGCACCCACAGCACCCATGGCAACCCATCCTCTGCTCCCCAGGGAGAGGAGACCTGCTGCCCCCAGACAAGCCAGAGACATCACACACAACCAGGAGAGCATCTGGTGTGAACACCGAGGGAGCATCCTGCAGAAATGCTGGGAATTCATCCTGAGAAACGCTGGGAATTCATCCCACAGGAATAGCAGCAGAGCAGAGGGAAGCTCTGCAAGGCGGCTGCTGGAGAAGGGAGTGGGCAGCAAGGAAGGGGAAGGGGCTCCAAGAGCAGCACCCGGATGGGACACGTGGCAATGGGGGAGGCTGAGGGCAGGTCCTGCTGGGCAAGGTGGGAGCAGAGCTAATCCAAAGCTGCAGGGACACCCTGGGGCCTGGAGCAGGTGAGAGACAGCACCTGGCACACAGCGTGTGAGTATTTAATTAAACCAGTGAAAGCCTGTTAAATCGGATCAACCCAACGTGCCTGAATTCCTGCCTCACCACCGGGTCAGTGCTCAGCGCTGCTCGGCCCCTCCTGCACCCCCCAGGCCAGAGGCCAGGCTGAGGGGCTGCAGCTCCCACAGATCCCAAGTGCTCTGGAGGGCTGTCCTTTGGATTAGTGCTCCCCAAGACCCCACATCCCCAACGCTGCATGGACAGGGATGGGGCACAGCAGCCAGAGGTCAGGGGGACCCAGAGAGCCCTGGAGGAAGGAGCAGGAGCAGGCATGGGGCACAGCAGCCCCACAGCCTGAACACCCCGAGGTCAGAGGGACCTGGACAAGCCTTGGAGGAAGGGGGATAGAGCAGAGCAGCCACCCAGCCAGCAGGACCAAAGCAGCACCCCAAAGCCAGCAGGACTTGGACAGCTCTGGAGGAGCAGGGATGGGGCACAGCAGCCAGAGGTCAGGGGGACCCAGAGAGCCCTGGAGGAAGGAGCAGGAGCAGGGATGGGGCACAGCAGCTCCCCATCTCCAGGACCCCAAGGCCAGCAGGACCTGGACAGATCTGGAGGAGCAGGGATGGGGCACAGCAGCCTCACAGCCTGAGCACCCTGAGGTCAGTGGGACACAGAGAGCCCCAGAGGAGCAGGGACAAGGACACAGCAGCTCCTCATCCCCTGGACCCCAAGGTCAGTGAGACCCAGACAGCCCCAGTGGAGCAGGGCCAGACACCACTGAATTATTAACCAACACAGGAGCTGGGGAGGGAAAACATGAATCAAGCCAGGAGGTTTTGCAATGCCCCCACCCACCCGGCTCCAGGGTTTGCCTCGGCGATGCTGAGTCCATCCACACTGGGCTGAGCCCATGGGATGAGCACACAGAGAGTTTGGGGTGCACAAACCCCAACCCCCACCCCTGAGTTATCCACACCAGCTCACTCAGCCCTTTGTGGCCCTGGGGACGGGGATGGGGACACGCAGCTGCCGGTGATGCCGACAGTGACCCCCCCTCCGGAAGGGTGAGGCCGCGGCGCCCGCAGCCACCACCCGGCGAGAGGCAGCTCGTAAAAACAAGTGGAAACAGCCCGAGCCAAGGAATGAGCATCAAACCCCAAACCGAGACCAGAGCAGGGCTCCCAATGCGCTGCCCGACGTGCCGGGGCTGGCACAGGGCTCCTGGGGCTCCTGCTCCAGCCAGGACCCCCCACCCCAGCTCCTGGGGCAACAGGGGTCTGTGATGAGCAAAAAACACCTAAAAATGTACACTGAGGTGCCACGTTCTGTCCCCGAAACGGAGTCCTGCTGTCACAACCAGCATCCCCCACTCTCCCCTGCTCCCCAGCCAGCATCCCCAAACCCCCCTGTGACGTGGGGAGGGGGTGGCAGGGCCCTGCTGGGGCGAGAAACGCTTCAGCAAAGGGATGTGCAAGAATTCCCCAAAAAAAGCAGGTCTTGGCTGGCGCCTGCGTGGCTGAGTCAGAGTCACAGGACCGGGGGAGAGATCCAAGCAGGGGCGGATGGGGAGCGTTGGCAGAACGGCTCAGGGGCCCTCGCCCCCCACCCAGGGCTGCAGACCCCCAGAATCTCCTCCTCGAGGGGGTTCAAAACCATCTCTGTCCCATCACCAGAGCCCCTTTCCCTCTGAGCCAGAGCTGAGTCCAGCCCAACACTCAAAGAAGGATCCAAAGGGAAAACGGCCAAAACGAGCCACAAACTTCCAGCCCCACACTCCCCTCACAGCCATCCTGCCACGGCCACCTCTTCCCAGGGCAGCAGAGGGTCCTGGTCCAGCCGGGGGTCTCCAGACAGGCCCCAGGTCCGAACAGGGCAGCACAGGGCCGGGGGGCTGCGGGTGACGCAAGCACTTGCTCCTCTCCCAGGCTGTATTTTTGCAGCTGGAAAGCATTACCCTCCTCAAAGGCTTTTGTTTTCCAGCTTTGCTCCATCTCTCCCTGCTCACCATCCTCCCCTCTTCTTTGCAGGAATCACTTTTTATGTTTTTATTATTATCATCATCATTGTTATTTTCATCATCGTCATTATTATTATTATTATTATTTTCAGCTCTTTCTTGTAGCCTCAGCTAAACCTCGATTTCCTCTTGAACTTTTGGTGGAAGCTAATTTAGAAAGCATCTATTTTTAACCCCTGGCATTGGCCTGCAGAAACCTTAACCCCCCTCCTTCCCAATCTTTGGAGAGGGAGGAGTGGGGGGCAGAGTGTCTCCCTGTGTCCCCTCCGGCAGCCCAGGGATGCTGCCACAGCCACCCCTGGCCATGAAAACACACCTTGCACCCACCTGAGGGGACCAGCAGGGATGAACCCGTCCCCTGGAGGGGTCAGACATGATTTCCATGGAGAATCCAAGGGGCAGAGACCACCCCCCCTCCCTCCTGCAGCCCCCCACGGGTGCCTCTCCCCACCAATTCCCATCCTGGAATCAATTCCTCCTCCTTGCTCAACCTCGGCGGGGCGTTGCGGGCGATTGCGACACACCGAGCTCATTTCCCAAGATTTATTTATTTGAGAGCGTTTGGAAAGGAGCTGGTGGGGGCAGAGAGCGGGGAATGTCGGCTTTCCAAGGCTCTTCCTGGGAGAGGCAGCCAAAAATCCTCACGGGGACAGGGTCCAGGCCAGCAGCCCCACTCGGGGGGGCAGATGGAGGGAGGATGGAGGTCGAGGGAGCACCGAGAACTTCATCAAAGTTGCTCAACACGGGCGGGTTGGCAACTTCAGCAAACCCCAAAACCCACCCGCACAGATGTTTCCTGGTTTCACACTCGAGTGATCCCCACCGAGCTGTTCCTGCCACAAAATCCTGAGTGTCACACCGTGCTTGGATTTCCCCTTCTCAAAGAATCCCAAAATGGTTTGGATCATCTCAGTCTCACCCTCTGCCACGGACAGGGACACCTTCCACTGTCCCAGGTTGCTCCAAGCCCTCTCCAACCTGGCCTTGGACACTTCCAGGGATGGGGCAGCCACAGCTTCTCTGGGAAATCCATTCCAGGGCCTCCCCACCCTCAAATGGAGGAATTTCTTCCCAAAATCCCACCTAACCCTGCTCTCTGTCAATGGGAAGCCATTCCCTGCGTCCTGTCCCTCCTGTCCCCTTTTCCAAGTCCCTCTCCAGCTCTCCTGGAGCCTCTTCAGGCACTGGAAGAGGTTCTGAGCTCTCCCTGGAGCTTTCTCAGCTCCAGGTGAACACCCCCAGCTCTCCCAGCCTGGCTCCATGGAGGAGCTCTCCAGCCCTCAGAGCATCTCTGTGACCTCCTCTGGCCTCATCCTTCTTCTGCCAGGACCCCAGAGCTCCAGGTGGGATAGTCCCACTCCAAGAACTCCTTGACACAAGTGGCTCATGGACCCCACATTTCCCACTGGAGCTGCAGCCCGAGGTTCTCCCTGCCTTAACCTGGGCCACCCGATTTACCCCACTCCCAGTGAGGCACTGCAGGGCTGTGTGGGTTTTTTGGGGAAGGAGCTTTGCTGACCCAGCACATAACTTTGCTCTGCATGAATCAGTTGCTGTGCAGTCTGCAAACACATCAATTGTGGCCTGACAGGAGGAGGAAGGAAACACACAATCTTCTCTCGGATTAAACCAGAGATTTCGACAGTCCCCAAACAGCTGCGAGGGGGACGCAGCCACTCAGCAGCTCCTGCAGAGCTGAGCGAGGAAAAGGAGAAACCCCCTCTATCCACAGAGGTTCAACAAGTTCGGGAACCAACACAGCAAAAAATCCCTGAATTCCAGAATCCCTGAGGTTGGAAAAACCCTCCAGGACCATCGAGTCCAACCTGTGATCAACCCCTGTTAGAGCCCTGAGTGCCAGGTCCAGCTGTTCCTCAGACACCTCCAGGGATGGGCACTCCACCACCTCCCTAAGCAGCCCCTTCCAATGCCTGACCACCCTTTCCACGAAGAAATTCCTCCCGAAACATGTGGATGTGGCACCTGGGGACATGTTTCAGTGATGACCTGGGTTAATGGTTGGACTCAAGGGTCTTTGAGGGCTTTTCCAACCTTAATAATTCCAGGATTCTAAGTCTGGCAGAAACTCCACTTCCCAGCTACCCCTCAAGGGAACATTCCCAGGAGAGCAGGGCAGGGATGGTGGGCAGGAGAGGGGCCAGCTCTGCTTGAAGCAGCCAGAAACATCGCTGGGCACAGACTCCAACACCAAATCCTCCTTCCCATTCTGGTGAGGATTTCACAGAATTCACAGTATGACCAGGTTGGAAGAGACCTTCAAGATCATCGAGTCCAACCCATGCCCTAACACCAACTAAACCATGGCACCGAGTGCCATTTTCCCCTCAGCACAGAGAACAGAGATGGACCGACCTCTGCTGCCAACATCTGGCTTTAAATAAAGAATAATAAAGAAGAAATAAAGCATATTGATGTCCAACAAACGCA